GTGAAAGTGGTAATTAATTACGTTAATTACGAATTACGTATTTACGGTAATTAGCTAATTACCATATCATGTATAATCTTCACCTTTTTCAGGTTCTAAACCAGTGAATTTGGAGCTCAATTCACACCATTAATAACATCTCTCATTTTGAGGTGACTTCCTAATCCCATCATTAGTATGTTTTCATGGTCATCAGCTATGGGCTAAAAATTGAAATTTCATCACTCATATAGGTCAGTGTCTTTTGGACAATGATAACTACTTTTCTCCATTGTCACTATAACATTCAGCTGGGATAACCAGCCCTCATCACTATACCCTTGGTACAGCTAATACAAAACAGTACAAAGATCATAATTATACCAAAATTATTACCAAGGTTTCTGGTCCATTTTGAAAAAAAGTAGCTTTGACAATAGTTTATGCTTCTCAATATTTTTATAAGAATGAACATGAAAAATAATTCAAAATAATTTGCTCAATTTCAGCTATTAATAAAAAATAGTTTGGGCTTATAAAAAATTAATTTTTGCCCAAAGCATATTAGAAATTTCGGCTACTAAAAGAGATAGTTTTGATCAGAAACCTAACCCAAACATACCTAAAACATAATGAATCAGCCAAAATCCATCAAAATCGGTACTGAATTTCCTGGTACAACTGTGGGCAAAGGACAATTTTCAAAAAAATAAATCTCACTCTCCATTATATATTTTTTTTCCTTTGCTTCCTTACACCAAACCATTTTTCTATCCAAAAATGCATTAATTTACACCTGAAACCTCAAATTCAATACTTTCTTGGTACAAGGATGAAATTGTACCATGTTTGACCCACTCTTTCTACTGGATTTTTATATATCCACCAGCTGTGCCAAGCTCTTTGTACCAAATTTTGGATATATATACACATTTTTTGAAAAAAAGAGATTTATAGTACAAACATTGGATTCTTGATCTGGCTAATATTCAGAGGAAAGTCCCCCACCATACAAGAATTTACCCATGTATTGAAAGATCTTGGATTAAAACCTAAATCAAAAAGAATAGGGACCAAAAAAGTAATAAAAGGGTCCAGTGGTATGAAATTTCATATGCAAGTCTATATGCTTTGTTCCGGAAAAGAAATATGTTGATGATGCAGAGAGTCTCAATGAGCCAGGAGACTATCAGCCTGGAAATAACACAAATATTCTCCTTACTGAAATTCTTCCAACTGAAGATCCTCCTACCAAAAAAAATACCATCTCCAGAACCCAAAAAGCCAATTCCTAAATCTCTTGCTGAATGCAGTAAATATTCTGTACCTGAGCCCAAAAAAGTTTCGCCTCCTATTCCCCCAAAGCTGGCTAAATTTCAGGGAAAAGTATGGAAGTTCCAAGTATATCTATGGAAGCTAATTCTTCTATACCTGAGCCAGCTAAACTCGAAGTAAAAAGTCCAGAATTACAGTCCAAATCAGTGAAGATGAATTATTAGTACATTATAAGATGAAATAATGTTCCTGAAAATGAAATTCCTGAGCTGATTTCTGAGCTATCTCCAGAGTTACATTCCAAAACCAAAGATATTCAATCAAAGGAGATAGAGTGTCTGCCCATAAAGAACCAATTTCCAATCTGAAACCACTATCTATAAGAAGTATGACCTCAAACAGATGTATGTGAGTGAAAGAATAAATTGGGGAAAATCCTGATGACTTTGATTGAGAATGCTTTATTTTAGAAATAGAAAATTTCTCTCAGAAGATAAAATTTGAAGCTTCATGGCATCATTCTCTTAATATGCTTGTGCAGTACCAGAGAAATAGATTAAATGGAAATGACCAGTATTCATCTACTTCTCCCACCAATCAAGAAATTGCATCCAAAATTTCCAAATATCTGAAAAAAGGGGACAGGTAATTATTACTCCTCCAATTGGCCATAGAATAGTTTCTATTGAATCTCATATTTAAAAAATGAAATTCTCTATTATGGATGAAGGGCCAATGATAAAGTAAAAGTGGTTGTTCCATCTTTTTTCAAGACATATTTCATATACATAAATATTTTTTTTTTGAAATAAATTGATCTACCTCTTTGTCATACAATAAATTGGTAAAATTTTATTGGTTTATATAAATGACCAACCCAAATGACCTTAATGACCATCAAATGAAATGACCTATATAGTCATTTGGGTCATTTGGATTGGTCATTTCAAATTGGGCAAATGACCTGGCCATATCACTACCCCTGTCAACATATCCATCTAACAAGTGCCCATTATGGTCTGTGATTATAGATTCTATTATTCCATCCTTATTTCATCACAATTTTTATAGTTATATTCAGCTACAGCCTTGGCTTTATGCCCCCTGTGGTAGAAGGCGCCATTACATTTGGGATCACTGATTTCAGACTTGGAGATGATATCAGATGTGTTTTGTTCACTATGTTGACACATTAATTCTGGTGGTATAATATTCACAAGAAAAATATTCAAAATGAAATTAATTCTGAACTAATTACTGGAATGATGGTCAGTCCTCAGTTACAAACAGTTCAAACAAGTTCAAGTTACATGATGGTCATGGGTACATACACCAACCTGTCAATCAATTTAATACTAAATCACAGCCTAATAATAATAGGCAAGCAAACATCAGGTAATTGTAATTCTTAACAATAATAATAATAATAATAATCAAATACAGGGAGCAATCATAATATGTAATATTTTATTTATAATAATAATAACATTTTGTCTAGTTCAAACCAAAGAAAATGTTCATCTACATAAACATAATCTATCTTTCTACCTTTTTCATTAATAAATAAACTATATTTACAAAATTATGTTAACAAAATATAAAAATATTATTTTTTAGTTCTTTTGACTTGTGGTAGTGTAGAAAAAGATTTAACCCTTTTCTTTTGATTCTCAAAGCTAAATACATTTTCTTTATCATCAGTTCGATTCATTTGATGATACTTCGGATAAAAGTTAAATATTTTATCTGGATGTCATTAGATACGAAGCACCATATCCGAATGATTTCTTAATCAGGAAAGATCCCATTAAAATTTTCAGCAAATGGCGCAGCATTGATGACTTTAGCACCATACCAATTTAGATATGCCCATCTCAGATGAGTTGGAAACTCAGCACTATACAGATTTCTTGCAAATCTAAGAACAATAGGTGAAAAACTCAACGCAAATTCATTGATAATCCCCAGCAATATTTATAGCTTCAAAATTGGGAGAAATATGTGCATATCATGGAGATGAAGATAGGAATACTTGAGATGTAAATGTGGTATTTAATTATGTAGATATTAGAGAGGTGAATAATTTGGTTCTTCACTCATTCTTAATATGTATATCAATTAATTGGTGCATTTTTTTTTCTGAAGTACTTAATAACTTTTTGGTGGAGAATATGTTATTGACATCAATGAATGATATTGATGGGGTTTTGACCCTCATCATTGATAGGAGATTGATCTCATCCTTATCTCTTCTCTAAATTAGTGGATTTTTTTCTACCCTGTAAAGATTTACTTATTTGTTCAGATCATCATTTCAGAGGCCATTTAGAATATGTAAAGAGTGGATCCAGAACTTTGAATTCTCACTATAATCATTTCTTGTTAGCAATGGCCTACAACCCCAAATACGACAAGGGTTAAAAATTGTTAATGATATGAAAATACTTGCAGTTTCACTAATAACCTACAATCTTCTAATAAATCAAAAGTTGCCAAGTAGAATGTGCCTAGTTTCAACATCATCTCTCCTTGAGGAAAACTTATAGGTTGCATTAATGCTGGATCAAAATCAGTTCTTAAATTGTTATGTGAATTTATGAATTCATCTAACATTGCTCCAATTTTATTGGAAAATTCATTATATGAAATGAATGTTTTGTTAAAATTTGTTTTGTCCCTAAAGATAATAGGTTTGCAAATGGATCTTTGCTCTCTATAAGATCGATTATTCCTGATGTTATAGGAATTTCTGGTTTAATTATTCGCAAATCAAGATTTTGTAAAATGTTAACTACTTCAGTATATACACTCGGACTATCTTCCAAGCATTTGCCTTGTATCTTAGTATTCTAAATAATTAATCTTATTAAAAGAGCTAGCAATGTTTACAGGACCTCAAAATTTTAGTATATAATTACTTACACATTCACCCAATATAAAATCAAATTATAGTTATATTTTGCTCCTGTTCTTCTGATTGTCATTGGAATAAAAAATACTTGGTTATTTTTCACTTGTAGTCAAGGTCAATTACATGATTAATAAATTTCGGAATTAAAATTACTGCAATTTGCAGACCTTTTCTTTTTCTATGCCCCAAGCATCTTTATAAATTCTTGGCACTGTTACCTGAAATCAGAAAAAAAACTTAATATAGTGATCTTGGAATAAATTGTTCTCATTATTAATATTTTTATGTTGAAAAGTGTTCTCTAAGTAATGCTACATACAACTATTCAAAAACAGTATTAAATTTTTACTTCAATACAAGATTATTGTTTTCAATTTTACTTTAAAAATATAAGCTTCCATACAAGTAGTACTTTATGTGGGTGTGTGTTATTGAAGTTTAGATAAATTTTAGTCACTTATTATCCAAAATAGAAAAGTAAGTTCCAAATTTAGTAATTTGATAATAAAACTTTAGGCTAAGATTATTGTCGATGTTTATTAATAACTTCCCCAAAAAATTTTCCAAAAGTATGGATATATCATAAATCTATTTTTAAATTTTGGTGGGATAACTGCACAAAAATGTATAAATTGAATGTTTGAAGTAAATTTTTCATTTTTTTCATATAGAATCCCAACATCAATCACTAAATTTTATATATGAGCAACACTTGACCCCCCTGAAAGTGACAATGTCTTGTGACTAGTAAGTTGTGACATATTCTTTATGAGATGACTTAACCCTGCTCTATCTGTTGATCTGTAGGTTTTGTTTATTTTCTTGACAACCACAATAGATACCTACTATACACTCACCTACTATAAATATCCGACCATCTGACGATCATTTTAATAATTGGGAAACCTATACCTCACGCAGTTCAAAATTTTATTAATCAAACCGGGACTGGTGCATTAAGTAAACATGTTTTTAAAGTCAATT